CTCCTCCCCTCCTCCTCCTCCTTCTCCACTTCCTCCTCCTCCTCCTCAGTCTCCTCTTCTCCTCCCCATCCTCCTCCTCCTCCTCCTCCTCCTTCTCCTCCTCCTCCTCTTCCTCCTCCTCCTCCTCCTCCTCCTCCTCCTCTTCCTCCTCCTCCTCCTGACCAGGCCGTGGAGTAAAACTCACGCGCATTATGAGAGAACCAAATACCATTCAGGTGCTCTGAAGTCGTGCGTTTAACCGTCGCTTTCCCGAACCATCCTGTGGTGTTGGCTCCTGGTTGTGAGGGGGCAGCGCCCAGCGTCGTTGATTCCCTCCCTCCCGCCTCCTCCTCCCTCTTCCAATTCCTCCCTGCCCTCCGCATGTCAACCATGTCACACGTTCGTGGCCCCATAGGGAGCCCCACCGAAGGCCCCAGTGGCTGCGCTCGCATGGCACCACCGCACCCATTTCGGCACAGTCATCACACGTTTCGTGGCCCGTTTGGGGCTCCACCGAGGGCCCCAGTGGCTGCGCTCGCATGGCATCACCGCGCATATTTCGACACACTGCTCACACGTTTCGTGGCCCCCGAAGGGAGCTCCACCGAAGGCCCCAGTGGCTGCGCTCGCATGGCATCACCGCACAAATTTCAACACACCTCGCACGCGTTTCGTGGCCCCAGAGGAAGCTCCACCGAGGGCCCCAGAGGCTGCGCCAGCATGGCGCTACCGCGCCCATTGTGGCACACTCCACGCACGCTTCGTGGCCCCCTAGGGAGCTCCACCGAGGGCCTCAGCAACCGCTCCAACCCTGCCCCGGAGGCTGTCCAAGCGGGCAAAGACCAAGCCATGGAGTCCGGAGCCCTACCTTCGAGGCCGTGCAGACAAGAATCCCGGGATTTTGAATGGCACGCCTGACGCTGCATGGTTCGGGTCGGGCGAAAGGGGGGGACAGCAAAGGGGGGGTTTGAGAATCAGCTCGCGTAGCTGATTTTCCCGGCGCCTCCCGGCGCCCGAGGCGACTGTGTATCGAGGAATGGGCCCCTCGGAGGGGCCGAAACCAGCTGCATGCAGCAAATTTCGTAACCCCCCCTTTCCCAATCCCCCCCTTTCGTCCGGCCCGAATGGTCACCTCCTCACCCCGTAGCATGTGCAGATGACGTCGTATCATGTGCAGATGGCGTTGCGTGAGATTGAATGTGCCGATGCTGTAAGTCAGCGCAGGGAGCACCCAGCGCTCCGATGGATGTACGCACCACGTGCCTGAAAGACCCGATGATTGCGTATGAGAAGCATGCGCTGCTTGCACAACGGTTCCCAAACCTTCGACAGATGATTGCGCACTTCCTTTGTGCATCTGCTGCTCGTGGGCACGGCGGCTCCCGGCTTGCACAAACCGTTGCAGGTGGCCACATGTGAACCCTGCCCGCACACCCCCTTAGAAATCGTGGGGGGTGGGGGTAGGCTTCACATGTGGCCACCGAACACGACCCCGAACAAACACACACACACACACACACTTCACATGCACCACGCTGGGGTACGCTCGAGGACCGGCGGCTGCCCTGGGAATCAGCGTTGGCCCACGGGGGGGGGCCCTTTCCAGCGGCGGCGGCGGCGGTAGCGACGGCGACTGCCACGGGAACCGCTCTGGCAGCGACTCGCCGAGCTGCGAGGAGAGCCCCACCGTCGGAGGGGTCGGCTCCGCGCCGCAGGCCCCGCAGGAGTGCCGGCACTGCCCGAGCATGAAGGCGGGGTTGGCCGCGCACTCGCCGGCCTGGCTGCGGCATGCTCTTGCCGTGGCGACGCGGGCGCTGGTTCCTGACGACGTGGGGATCGTTTAGCTTTGAATGGTCGGCCATTTCCGAAACGCCCAATCGTTCAACATCGACCGACTCTGCATCGCCAGCGGCGTTCAGCGTTGAACGCCGGCGGCGGGGTCGCCGACAGTCGACACGAAGCGAACGTAAGTACTATGTGGGTGGGGGCTGTGGAGCTCTGCCTGGACAACGGCATGACAGCAGAAGGGGTCGCAGACGTCGCTGCCGCCGCCGCCATCGCTGACGCCATCGCTGACGTCGACGACGCCGCCGTCGCTGACGCCGTCGCTAAAATCGGTCTTCCAACGACTGCATGCCCGTGGGTCGTCGGTGATCGAGGCTCGACGCGATAGACGTTTTGACTCTTCTTGCGTCTTCGGATGATGATGATGATGATGACGATGATGATGATGATGATGATGGTGGTGATGATGATGATGGCGGTGGTGATGATGATGGTGGTGGTGATGATGATGATGGTGGTAGTGGTGCTGATGATGATGGTGGTGGTGATTATGTTCATAATAATGATTGTAGTGATGATGGTGATGATGATTACGATGACAATGATGATTATTATGCTGATGCGTACGATTATGTTGATGGCGATGAAGATGTTGATGCCGAGGAAGATGAGATTATCATGATTGCGATGATGATGCTGATGATTAAAGCTACGATGGTTATGATGATGAGGATGACTACGATGATTACGGCGATGATGATAATGATGATGATGAGGGGTACGATGATGCTACTGATGGTGGTGACGACGACGACGATGATGGGCATGACGATAATAATGGTGATGCTGATGATGATGCTTCTGATGATGGTGATGATGATTATGATGATGATGGTTGCAAGGATGATAACGATGATGATGATGATGATGATGATGATGATGATGGTGGTGATAATGTTGATAAAGATGATGATGATGATGACGACGACGACGACGACGACGATGATGATGATGATGATGATGGAGGTGATGCTGATTACGAGAATGATGGTGATACTGAGGATGAGTATGCGATTGATACACACGACATAATCTTGGAGGGGATGATGATGATGATGATGATGATGATGACGACGACGACGACGAGGATGAAGATGAGGACCAGGATGAGGATGATGATGAGAACGATGATGATGATGATTATAATGATGATGATGATGATGCTGATGATGATGATGATGATGATCATTATCGTGGTGGTGGTGGTCATTGTCACTGTCGGGGTGGCGACGATGACTGTGAGGACGGTTAAATATGATGATGGGTGTGATTAGGATGAATATGATGATGCTGATGGTGGTAGTGGTTATGATGATGACGATGGTGTTGTGGGCGTTATCCACTGCTGCGACGACGCAGTGGATGCGGATACCGCTTGGCTCTCGGGAGGCGGAGCAACGTCCCGGCCCACCGCCGGTGCCGAATGTGGGAGGCGAGCGCAGGTGGCTTGGCATCCACATTTTGGAAGATAATTTCGCGCGAGGTGATTGTGCTCATCGGGTACGGTAGCATCCTCAACGAGATCATCTATCCAGAGTTCGGCTGCCTCTCTCACTGTCTGCATATTTCTCCCCTTTGAAACATCACCTTCCACAAGTTTTTCGCCAGGGAGCGTGCCAAGTGGAGGAATAGGTGCAGCTAGAAGGGGAGGATGGGCCGGGAGGAGGAAGAGGAGGAGGAGGAGGAGGGGGAGGAGGAGGAACGCGGAATAGCATCGGCGGGGAGGAGGGAGGGAGGGAGGCTGAGCGGGAATCAGGAGCAAGAGGGAGGAGCTGGAGGGGGAGGGCGACGACGAGGACAAACATGACTTTGGAGGGACCAGGAGCGGGAAGAGCAGGAGCAGGAGAAGCAGGAACAGGAGGGAGGGAAGACGATTCTCTATGTCCCCAGAGGCGTCATCATCACCATCCTCATCCTCATCCCCATCCCGATCCTCATTACCATCATCATTGTCCTGGTCGTCGTCGTCGTCCTCATTACCACCGGTAGCAACATCACTATCACCACCAACATCATCATCAGCAGCAGCAACATCAAAATCAGCATCATCAGCATGATCAACATGATCATCGGTTCCATCAGCATCATCATTATCAGCATCATCATTATCATAAGCATCATCGCCACCATCCTCATCATCCCCATCCCCTTCCTCATTACCATCATCAACATCATCATCATCATCATCATCATCATCACCATCATCATCGTCAGCATCATCATCACCACAATACCCTTCATCATTCGCACCATGGCTGTCATGATCGTCATCATCAGCAGCATAATCATCATCGTCAACATCATCATCAGCAGCATCAGCATCATCATCAGTGTCATCTTCTTCATCCGTATTACAATCGTCATCCTCATCACCATCAGCAGCATGACCACCACCACCACCACCGTCATCATCATCATCAACACCAACACCTATCACCTTGACAATTATCAGCGGCAGTCGCATAATCATCATCATCATCATCAGAATGAACATCATCATCTCGTCATTATCATCACCATCATCATCGGCAACACCAACAGCAACAGCATCGTCGTTCTTAGCCCAAACATATTCAGCAACATCCCCATCAACAGCACCGTCGCCAACATCACCATCAGTATCACCCTCGTCATCGTCATCGACATCATCGTCATCATCACCAACACCATCATCAGCATTATCATCATCAGCAGCAACATCACTAACATCATGATGACCATCATTACTGGGAGTGCTTCTTTTAAGTGGGTGATTTCGTCTCAGATGAGAGCGAAGCAGTCAACACGCAGCGAAAGGCACCTGGGACACTACGGCCCGCAGGAGGCAAGGGAGGTTTTCGACCACAACCTTGGGGGTAAAGCAGTCTGCGCGCATACGATGAAGATGGCGGCCCGCTCGGGGGCGTTCCATCCTGACCAGAGGTTTGCAAATCAACCAGCAAGGACAAAGGGATACGCGACGGCGGAGAGGCGCGCACTGAAGGTGACAATCCGCTGGCGGGCGTTCCATCCTGGCAGCTTGCTCTCAGTCGTTGAACCTTTCGGGGGGGGCACGATATTTACAGGAATCGGCATCGGGCCACGAGATACTTGAGCATAAACAGTTGCGGAGACAAAAGGTTGCAACATCGACCCGAAAAGATCCCATCCAAACCTGCGTACGCACATACACTACTGGGAGTTTCTCTTTCAAGTGGGTCAGTTTGTCTCGACTGAGGGTGACGTTGTCAACACGCCACGAGAGCCCTTGAAACCCTACGGCTCCCAGAAGGCCAAGAAAAATATTCGACCACAACCCAAAGCGCGAAGATTTCGGGCATTCCGAAACGCGAAAAATCAACCCACTTTGGCCTACTGCAAGTTCGTGTCGTGTCGACCCCGGCGTTGGTTCCCGACACCGCGCTGGATCGTTCAACCTTGAACGATCGGCCGTCTCCGCAGCGTCCGATCATTCAACATCGACCGATTCTGGGCCGCCGTCGGCGTTCAACGTTGAACGTCGGCGGCGGGATCGCCGCCGGTCGACACGACGCGAACCTACCGTAAGCTGGCTGCCGGCCAGCTCGGGCCTGTTCAACGGAAGTCCTCACAAGCAGGCGGCTCAACTCCGCATGCACCCGAGGCGGGCCGCTCCCCGCCGAGGCGGGCCGCGGGCGCGTCCAGGCCGTCGTCCGCCCGCGGCGTGGCGACGCCAGCCGCTGCCTCGGCCTCGCCGACCGCGCCCCCAGCTGCGGGGGCCGGCGCTGCCGGGCGGCGGGCGCGCTCGCGGAAGGCCTCCCGCTCCTGCGCCGACATGGCCAGCACATTGGTCCAGCCGCCGCCGTCCGTCGCCAGGGCCTCGTGGAAGCCTTCAGCACCCAGCAGCACGTCGCCGTCGCCGGCCTCGCCCACGTCGCCAACGCGCTCCCAGCCGACCGAGGTCGAAAACGGTCCACGCCGTGCCAGCGGGCGGCGAGCGACCACAGCTGAGTCGCCAAGCAGCGCCTCGACGGGTCGCCCCCGCCCGCTCGGACTGACGTAGACCTCCACGGGCGGCATGGGAACGCCTCGAGAGTCCAGCAGCGCCTCCTCGTGGGCCTCCGAAACGAGGGTCCTCAGCTCCATGGACCCTGGGTGCTCCTTGAACCGATAAACGCTCTCACGGACGGCGGCGGGCACAACCCCGCCTCGCATAGCCCGAGTCTGCGCCGGGCCCTCCAGCGACCCGACAACACTCTCAGCGCTCACGTGACCGTCGGGTGTCAAGATCAACCACGTCCCCGCTTCCGCCGTCGGCCACAAGCACATCCTCTCGTGCCAGACCATGTCGTCCTCGAACCATGCTGGATACAGGTCTCCGGGCCGAAGGCGCCTCCAGAACTTCCGCGCCGCTGCGCCTGTTGGTACCGTCGCCATGTCGCCGCCGCTGACAGGCCGAGGCCACCAGCCACAAGGTGTTGACCAGCGAGGCAACACAACCCAGAGCGTTCACCCCGTCAAATCTCTCCTCACACCTGTCGCTGTCCGCCTCGCACGTCCCGCCGCTGATGAAGGCAGGCACCTCGGCGGGTAAGCACACGCGGCTCGGACACGGCGGGCACTCTGGCCAGGGTTCACCGCCACCAGAGCAGTAGAATGGCGGCGGCTGGGTGAGAAGTGCCCTCACCACCGTCTCAAGGAAAGCCACAAACACCGCCCCTGTGCTGGCGGACTGGCCAGGATTCATGCCGCGAAAAACTTGAGCATAAACAGTTGCGGAGGCAAAAGTTTGCAACATCGGCCCGAAACGATCCCATTCAAACCTGTCCACGCACATACATTCTCAACATCATCATCAGAATCAGGATCAGGAGCAGTAGCGTCAGCAGCGTCAGCAGCATCATCATCATCATCATCATCATCATCATCATCATCATCAGCAGCAGCAGCAGCAGCAGCATCAGCATCATCATCATCATCATCATCATCATCATCATCATCATCATCATCATCATCATCATCATCATCATCATCATCATCATCATCATCATCATCATCATCATCATCATCATCATCATCATCATCATCATCATCATCATCACATCATCATCACCATTATGATCATCATCATCATCATCATCATCATCACCACCATCATCATCATCATCATCATCATCATCATCATCATCATCATCATCATCATCATCCTCGGCAGCAGCATCAGCATCAGCATCAGCATCAGCATCAGCATCAGCATCAGCATCAGCATCAGCATCATCATCATCATCATCATCATCATCATCATCATCATCATCGCCATCATCATCATCATCATCGTCATCATCATCAGCATCAGCATCAGCATCATAATCATCATCATCATCATCATCATCATCATCATCATCATCATCCTCATCCTCATCCTCATCATCATCATCATCATCATCATCATCATCATCCTCATCAGCAGCATCATCCTCATCACCATCATCATCACCATCGTCATCACTATCATCATCATCATAATCATCATCATCATCACCATCATCATCTTCATCATAATCATCATCGTCATCATCATCATCAGCAGCATCATCATCAGCATCAGCTTCAGCATCATCATCATCATCAGCATCATCACCATCATCATCATCATCACCGTCATAATCGTCATCAGCATCCTCCTCATCATCAACATTCCCAGCCTCAACGTCACCCTTCTCATAATCATCAGCATCAACAACAACATCATCATCATCATCATCATCAGTAGCATCATCATCATCATCCGTATCATCACCATTCTTAGTAGTACCATCATCATCATCAGCAGCAGCATCAGTATCATCATCAGCATCGTAATCAGCAGGAGCAGTATCATCATAATCCTCGTCATCACCAGTATCATCATCATCACCACCACCACCATCATCGTCGTCGCCATTATCGTCGTCACAATCCTATTCGTCTTCGTCACCGTCGACGTCGTCGTCGTCATTGTTTCTGTCGTCGTCGTCAATTACTTAGTTCTAGATAACAACTGTTATTGATCTGCAGGAGCGGTGCTGCGCGCTCTCGCCTCGACGCCGGCTGCATTTCTTTGGGAACGACGCTCCCGCTCGAGCTCGGGTTTGCGTCCACATCCGAGCCCCTGAAGGACGGCATCGGCTCTCGCTCGGTACTTCCAAATCATTTATTCGGAGACGCCATGGCCAGAAAGGCCTCGAAACTTAGGAGAGGCGTTCTCGCCCGAGGCTTCCTCGCAATTGAATGCGACGGCCCAGCAACGACGACAGCGGCTCCCGCCCGATATTCACTCACACACTACTCCGAGACGCCCTGGCCAGAGAGGCCCCGAAATACGGGAACGGCTCTCTCGCTCGAGACGTTCTCGCAATTCAATCAGGTTGGAAACGGCCCAGCTGGGACGGCGACGGCTCCCACTCGACACTCCCGCAGAATTTTACTCGGAGGTGCCCTGGCCAGAGAGGGCCCGAAACGCAGGAATGGCGCTCTCGCTCAAGACCTCCTCTCAATTCAATCAAGTTCATAACGGCCCACCTACGGCGGCAACGGATTCCGCTCGATATTTCCTCACAAGTTACTGCGAGACGCCCTGGCCAGACAGGCCCCAAAACACAGGAACCAGCGCTCTCGCCCGAAACTTCCTGGCAGTGCAACGGCCATGGCGGCGCGGTGCGCATACAGAGTGCACAGCAGAATGCCTCTCCCCGGGGATTGTATGGAAAGAATCCCCCCGAAAGGGGGTTGTTTCATAGGCTTGGCGGGCGGGTACTAGGGAGAGGGAAACAAGTGAAGGTCAAAAACTGTTTTGGGGACTACATGCTCGCAAGACGGTCGTCGTCGTCGTCATTGTCGTCGTTGTCGTCGTCGTCGTCGTCGTGATCGTCGTCGTCGTCGTCGTCGTGGTCGCCATTGCCGCCATCAATGGGCAGGGACTGGACATCCTCGGTCGGGCCGTCAGGTGGGAGGACGCGGCCGCCAGGCCTGCGCCCAGGCGGCGCAGCTGTCCTCCACGCTGCGGTCCTGGCTCTCGGAGCGGGGCGGAGAATAGCAAAGGGAGGGGAAATCTCCTCCCTCCTCCCTCACTCCTCCCTCCCTCCCTCCCTCCCTCCCTCCTCCCTCCCTCCCGCCCTCCCTCCTCCCTCTCCTCCCTCCCTCCGCCCTCCTTCCTCCCTCCTCCGTGGCTTCCTTTGTTGGGGGAGGGCGGCGGATCAAAGAGCAAGAGGTTCGCCCTGGCACACGGGTTGCGTGCCACCAAAAAAGGCAGAGCGGCTGCGCGAATGCCATGTCCGACGTCCCTCCCTCCTCATCTACCTCCTCCCGCCCAAAAAGCCTCGATCGTCGATCCTCCACCTCCTCGCCCTCTCGGGCGGGGCGGAAGGAGGGGGGCGGGCGCGATCGGGCACCGTGGTGGCCGACCGCGACTGTCTCCATGGTGAAAGGCACCAATGAACATTGCAACTTTTTCCACGGGCGATCTCGCACCATGGCCAAACATATATCATTGGTTCACACCTCTTCGGTGCACACGTACCCTGGCCGACAGAAACATTCCTGGCCAACCCCGCGGTGATCAGTGTCCCGTTACTTGGCAGACTCACCAGTCTACGAGGACGGATGAACGGAATCCCGGGTGGCCCCATGGTGTTACATGTTCGTTTCTTGGTAGGCCCACTGGAGCACGAGGATCAGGCTGATCAGGGCCACCGCGCGAACCACGACAACGACGACGACGACGACGACGACGACGACCACGACGGCGACCACGACTGCGGGGTCGGGCGGCGGCTTTGACGACGGCGGCGACGGCGGCGACGACAGCGGCGACGGCGACGACGACGACCACGGCGGCGGCGGCGGCGACGGCGACGGCGACGACGACGACGACGACGGCGGCCACGGCGGCGGCGGCGACGACGGCGACACCGCCGACCAGGACGCCGACGACGACGGCGACGGAGAGATGGCTCCGAGTTGCAAGTGCCCGCGGGGAGGGGGCGCGCATTGCTGAAGCCTTGGTGGCGGTCTGGGGCGCTCGATTCATCAGATCGGCAACCTCGCAGGGCCTCGCGTGCCAGGCAGGACAACGCAGCGGCTGCGCGGGGCCGCTTGCAGGCGGTCGCGGGCCTCACACACTGGCTGGGGCGGGCCGCCCTGCTCACGCCACCTGACCGGCGACAGAGGCCCGTGCTCCAGGTCCCTCCGTGGCGCCCGTGGTTTTTCGGTGGCAGCGCGGGCCACGTGCTCGTGCACATCGAGAGCGATGAGGGGTTCCAAACGTCCCCCCACGGCACAGCCAACGGCCGGGACAGCGTGGGGGTCGGGGAGGGACACGGACGGGTGGCGGGCTGTGTTTCACGAGGAGCCTCTGCGGCTTCGCTGCGGCACTGCGGCCTGCTCGGACCAGGGCGGAACGGGCGGCGGCGCCAGCAGAGGGTGCCGCCAAACGCAGGACGGCTAAGGCCCTGGAGCACCACGCCGAACAGGAAGCCCAGGAGCTCGACTGCGCGTGCCAGCCGAAGTGAAGACCACTGTGGGTCCGACTCCGCAAGATCGGGGACAGCTTCGGCCAACGTTGCAAACTAAAGTTCTTATTACGCATGCCCGCGCTACACCATGGTACCCGCCCCCCACGCTGCCACTGGCGCGGCTGTCTTCCAGCAGGGGGTGCAAATAGCTGAAGCTGCGAAGATAAAGTAATGCAACGCCGTCGGGATGTGGCCGAAAGCCCTCTCCCCCCCCCAAAAAAAATGCTGTATCCTCCTCCTCCTCCACCACCACCTCATCCTCCTCCTATTCCTCCTTCTCCTCCTCCTCCTCCTGCTCCTCCTCCTCCTGCTCCTCCTCCTCCTCCTCCAGCTCGTCATCCTCCTCCTCCTTCTCGTTATCCTCCTGCTTCTCGTTCTCCTCCTCCCCCGCCACCTCCACCTCCACCTCCTCCTCCTCCTCCTCCTCCGTATATCCTCCTCTTCCTCTTATTTGTTGTGCAAAATATTATGAGTCGGCATACTAGAATTAGTAGTGCGATTAGTAATATTAGTAGCACGCACTCCTGTTATCACTCCTATTCTAAGTATTAGCATTCGCAGCTCATGTATAATGGTTGGTAATATGACAGCTACTGTTAATGCGATTCGCCTCCTTAATGTTATTAGTATCGTTTGTGGTAGTAGTCGTTCGTTGTTGTTAGTAGCATGTTTCTTAGTATGATTAGTCTCATTCATGATCTTAGTTGTCTTAATATGGTTATTGATGATACTCGTTGCGTTTTGACTGCTCGTCTTCATAATAGTATGACGAATATTCTCTGTGTTGGTATTGTTAGTAGGCGTAAGATTATTATTAGTTGTCTCTAAGTATAATTCGCATTACTAGTGTTATTCATTTTTATGTGGATTAGCACTAGAACTAGCAATAATTGTCCGAATACTCCCATTAGTACCCTGTAACGCCCCTCACGGGGGTAGAAACCAACTGGGTGCAGTCTACTCCGTGGAGCGTCGTGGTGTCTCCTCCTCCACTCGTGTGCTTGCGCCAGGCTCGCAGGTGGTCAGAAAAATGCCCCGAACATCAAAGATTACGTTATTAGAGGTTTCGTCTTCGACTCCTTTCCCAGAGCCCCGACGTGGTGTCCGTTCATCGTGTCGGCGCCCTTGTTGTCGTGAAATTCTCCTCGGAGGGCCTCTTTGCGACGCTCCCGAGAGAGGGGAGGAGGGAGGAGGGAGGAGGGAAGGAGGAGGG